CCCCCCCCCCCCCCCCCTCCTTCTTCCTACGGACTTGGAATATTTCATTTTATAGCAGAGTAGTTATCTCAATTTGTGGAAAAGCAGGATATTTTCCCCAGAGGTTTCAAATCGATCAATGCCGCGTAAAGTCTGATGCCATATCTGTTCTTGATTGACGTCATTCTCCCGACCAAGAGTGAATTTTTCTAAGTGTGACCATAGTCTACACTAGCTCGTGCCAAGTGCTTGTGTATGTATTATATATCCTTGTTCCAGACCCGGACTAACACGTTCGAGAACCCCCCCCCCCCCCCCACCTTTGGATCAAATGCGTCACGCGTTGAGCGTTGACGGCCCGGAAACACAACCCCACTTGCTCACTTTTTATACTAGAAATAGAGTATAGAAAATTATTTCTGACTGATATTCTCCTGTAATATGCCTCAAACTGATGCGGAGATTCTTTCTCTAGCAATGTATGCTACGCGGGGAAATGCCCTTGCCAGTCCAGCAGTAGTATACAGCCTCAACACCCAGCCAACACACTACACAACAGTACGGACCAAATAGTAGAAACCTGCGCCACAAGAGCTAGTGGCTCTGCGTCACTCTGTGGCGCTAGAACAGACGTTTTGGGCGATCCTCCAACCTCTGATCAGCCAATCCGATGCAAACTAGGACTGACTAATCGCGCCTTTTACTTGTTCCAAGAAGCTTAGGGCGGTGACCGTCATGGTACCGTGGGCAGATAGTTGACACAGAGCTACGTGCATCATATAGCACCACCAATGGCACCATGCAAGACAAGACTGAAGATCCGGAAGAGAGATGCCATGCCATGCCCCTCGCCTAGTCGAGCTGGCTTGCCTAGTTCTTGGTCTTCGTCATCGCGTCCACACCGAATTACGCGGTCGGGGAAAACTATAAAAAAATGTCCAGAGAATGGACAGACTGTGCGTCTGGTTTTCGTCAAGAACATATACCAACGAATATCCACTTTCGAGTCAGACATAACTAGCTATACACCTCTCTTACTGTATACATATTTACAACAACACATATCACACAATGCCATCAAGCACCGTTTGTACCCTCCTCCTATCCATCGCCCACTTCCTCTAGCCTCACCGCTGACGTTGCTCAAAGAGAAGCATTTGTCTCTACTTCCTTGCCATTTGGCTGCCCTTCCTGCCCGTCCTCATGCTGCGTGGCTGTGGTGCAGACGTTCTGATTAACATCGCCCTGGACCTGCTTGGATGGATCCCAGGTGTCATTCATGCCTGGTATATCATTAGCCAAAACGAGAAGCGGGAGTATGTTCATGTTGAACCCGGATATGGAAGGGGACATGGTTACCGGGAGAAGAGGGTGAAGTATTAGTGGAAGATGGAGCGGATTTGGCGATATTTGAAGAGGGAGATGGAGAAGGACGATGTTTTTCAAAAGATCTTATACAGACAGACTAGATGCATTAGATTCTTCAAGCAGGTGCAAAGTATGCTAGCAATCTGGGAAGTGTTTTGCTACGAATATGAAGAGAATCATCAGGGCCGCCATGCAAGGTACTCACAAGACATGACAGAGTCAAGACCCTAGTTTTACTAAATCTCCATCCGCCGATGAAAGCCTACATGTGTCATGTATTCGAGGTTGCTTGGCGAAAAGTTTCATCGATCCTATGCGCTGCTCACTGGATCTGGCGGGGCATCAACGGGGGTTGATCAACTCATTAACTCACAATACATAGTTCTCCTATAGTTAGATGGGTATCAATATTGACTTTTCATCCTTAGGCCAACACATTCAAACACACACACAGCAAAATAGATGGATTTAGGCCGAAAAATAGTTCAATATGTTCACAGAGAAAAGAAGTGTAGTAACAGTTTCCTGAACCAAAGTTAACAACATCTGCTACCCTATTTACAAAGTCTCTGTACAGCTTTTGGTCTAGCAGCTGCCTGCACCGTTGGGGGTACCGCTCTTGTACGCACCCGCACTGTCTCCGAGGCACTCAGCTGCAACATGTTAGTCTCGCGCAACAAGGGGGGGGGGGGGGGGTTGGGAGCAGCAAAAACTCACCAACAGTGACCAGCTTAAGGCCGTTGTTTTTGGCCCAGTTGATCAACCAGGGCGTCAATGTGTTGACGGTGGAAGAGTAGGCTAGCACGTTTGTCAGTACATACTCTTCATCTTTTTTCTTTTCCTTTTGAAAGAATCTCAAAGTGAAAGACTCACTCTCGTGCATGAGGGTAATGTGTCCGTTACCACCCGTACCCGCCTGCTGGAACTTCTGCTGGCTCTGCTGGGGGGTCTTGCCGTTCCAGTCTTCACTGTCCACATCAGCCGTGATGACGCGGTAGCCCAGGTTGCGCATAGTTGGCAGCACATTGCCACCTGTAGCGAGGTAAGGGGGCCGCATGTATGTGGGCTTGACGCCAATGATATTGACGAGGGCCTGCTCAAGACGCGACATCTGGCTGGTCAGGTCGTTCGAAGATAGGGAGCCAAAGTTTTGCGGGTGCGTCCATGTGTGGGAGGCGATTTGGTGGCCCGACTTGTATGCGCTTTGGAGTGCGTTTCTTTGGTTGTAGATGCAGCCGTACAGTGTGCCCGTGACAAAGAAGGTTGCCTTGGCACCGCCTGCATTCAAGGTGTTGACAAGTTGCTGGGTCAGCTGCGATGGTCCATCATCGTAGGCGAGGGCAATTTGGCCAGGTGCTACGCATTTAGTGATGACCTTTGGGTATGTTAACTTGAATACAAGGGCAGGGAGTCACGTCATCAAACGCGAGCGGATCTGCATAAGTACCTGTCCTGCAGCAGGCCCACTCTGCCTAATCACGTTCAGAGGATCAGGAATAGGTGTTGCAACAGCAACGGCAGCCAAGGTTGCGACGAGAAGAGACTTGAGGCCCATGTTTCCTTGCGGTTTCCTGATGTTCAAATTTGGGTTGCTGGGAGGATGGTGAGGAACCAGTGTGTCCTACAGCTACCATATACTTAAGTACAAGAGCCAAGATTGCTCTCCGGTACTGAATGTCATGTCAGAGAAGCTTGGAATTTCTTGGCTCGTTTATAGTAAACAATGCCGTCCGACCGGGCTATCGGAAGCGGTTGTAACCCCCTGATCGGGTGCATCCGCGTAATTCTTGAAACATCGGTGGCTCAAATTGATCCTGGGTGAATGACCTTGAGATAATCGTCTCTCGCTCCACAACTGATTTTACTTTGCTTAGGCAGAGTGGCTTGGAGAGAATGTAATGATTCAGTTGCCCTTTGTATCTGCCATGGAAGACGCAAGGCTGTATCGACCGACGTATATCACACCTGGTTCGAACATGATGCATACGGAAAACCTCCGCGAAATGTTTCATGCAATTGCCGCCGGCTAATGAGATCCCCGCAAGGAGAGGCTTGGGTCTGCGCCATGTGGATCTCGTGTAATTGAACATCAAATTAGTAGCGTACTAGACACGCCACGATCGTAGTTGTGCAAGTTCTGGAATGTTGTTGCGACGTTCTGTCGAGGTTAGCTTGTAGACCCGCATGTGGCTGGTCCCAGTTTGAAACTTGCTTTCCCCCACCACCTTTGCCGACTGCCATAGTAGAGGTAAAGCAACGCAATCTAAATACAACCCATTGGACCGAGGTCGGTTTACAAATTTGGCCCAGGTGACGCATGATTTTACTAGCAATAACCCCACCGGTACTGTTCACACTTGCCAAGCAGAAGATTTATCCGCGTCTATCATGCCCATGGGTTCTGTAACCGGTATTCTGATCGTGCACTACACGAAATGTGACTTGGCCGTGCAGTGAGCGACTTTGAAAATATGACCTATTCACATTCAAACCTCGGTGGCTGGTGGTGACATCAGAGTGACTATCCTTTTCTTTTCATACGCACCACACGTCGTTGGACACCTTCGTAAGCATCATGGGATACCGAAGCAATCCATAGAAAATGCTGAGCTGGGACAAACATATCAATTTATAGTACTAGGACAAGTGAAGCTACTAGGCATCTCTGACAATTGGGGCTGCTGAAAGACGGAATCGAAAAGACACATGACAGGGTTTTATCCAGAACGAAACCCATTTCACCTATAAAGGTATTGCCAACAGCTTAGTACCAGAATAAAGACTCCTCTTGTCGCGCTCGACATCAATATTGATCCACTGAGCAGCGATGATAGAGGTACACAACTTGTTTTCCTCTCCGCCATACCTTGGGGCGAGTTGCGCCACTTGTTGTTGAACTTAAGTGCAGTGCTTTTCGTTGCCACCAATAGCACTAGCATCGCAACCATCAGGGTAGAAGAAACTGGCGAGTGCAATAATGATGTATGAAGCGATGAGTAAACTGCCCTCGAGATAGTTGCTTCGCCCGTCTAGTACCAAGAAGTTTACAACCAGGACAGTAACGAACAAGGCAACAGTCTCAAAGATATTGAAATACAATGTCATCTCTTTTCCCATCATCCAGCCAAGGATGACAATCACGGGCGTGATGAAGATTGCAATTTGAATCGATGAGCCGACCGCGATACCGATGGAAAGATCCATCTTGTTCTTCATGGCTACCGTGACAGCTGTAACGTGCTCTGCCGCGTTACCAACGATGGGAAGAATGATGAGACCAATGAAAGCCTGACTAATGCCAGAAGATTCCACCATTGGCTCTATAGCACCACTCATAAAGTCGGCACATACAGCAACGAGACCAGTACTGATTAAAAGCATGAAGATGGCCGCTTTAATGGACATGTCGGGCACCTCGTCAACTTCATCATCCTCGTTCAATGCCAAGGCAGCTTGAGGTGAGACAGCGGGGCGATTAGCTGCGTTAGCGAAGGGCGCTGTTCGGCCAATCTGATCTGGAAGAGACTTGGAACGGCGAAGGGGTGTGCGCAGAACGGTGTTGTCACGAGGCGCTGCCATGCGAATGTTCGGAGCAGGGCCGCCAAGTGGGGCTAGGTTCTGAGGATTCGAGAAGACATTGTTGGAAAGCAGGGAGGGGAGTGCAGGACGATTATACCTGCGCGGGTTGGTCGCAGCAGCCGTGTTTTGCTGGATGTCTTGGGCAAAGGTGACCTTGGGTGCAGGCTCGTTTGGCGCAACCTCTTTCTCAGGAATCGTACTGACCTTGTTGCGGTCACGGCGGTCCTTCTTGTGCTTCTTGTGTCTGCGTTTCTCCTTCTTCATCATTGATTGCGAGGTATGCGAGGCAGCTTCAAAGTCACGAACGACTGGCGCATACTGATCGTTATCCGCTTCATCGCCACTCATAACGTCGACCGAGTGCCGGCGAGAGGTTCCAAACATGCCAGCATTAGAAGTGAAGACGCTGTTACTCCTCTCCCTCTCAGCCTCGAAAGGACTCTGATTGAGTTCGCCATCTGGAGAGCTCATAGCGGAAAGGGCACTCCCATCTTTGGAACTAGCACTGGACTTGCGACGAAGTCTCTTGACCATGCGCTTCGCCTTCTTTTTCATTGTTCCATCAGAACGCGACGAGCCGTCGCTGTCACTGCTGCTGGAGCTGGACGAGGATTCTGAGCTAGACGAGTCAAAAGCACCAGCAAGAACACCGGGATGGGACTCTTCATCGATGATGTGCTGCGGAGTGCTAGCGTAGAGATATCTGTGGCTCTTCAGCTGGAATAGAAGATAGAGACCATAAACGAGCAACAAGATGACACTTGTGCCACGACTGACGGATAGAGTCTCGTGATCGGCAATGGCATTATCCTCAAAGGCTGCATGGAAGGCAGTAGGAAGCAGAAGACTCATGACGGCCAATGCAAGCATGACTCCGCTCATTTGAGTGACGGTGTTGTTGTAGACCTGTTCCTGGTACTTGAGGCCACCCAACAAAAAGGCCATACCAAGGATAAGGAGTAGGTTCGCAAGAATAGATCCAAGCAGCGAGGCCTGCACCACCTCTATCTGGTCAGAGGCAAGCAGAATGATGAAGAGAATCAGCTCAACGGCGTTGCCGAAAGACACGTTTAGCAGTGCGCCAAGCGCGTCTCCAACGCGGGCGGCAACAACTTCGGTTGCGTGCGCGAGCAGACCAGCAAGTGGAATAATGGCAATGGCGTTCATGGAGAAGACAATCTCGGGTTGCAAGCCGACGAGCTTGACGGCGATGCCAACCGGCACAAAGACTAGCAGGACATTGATCCAGCTATGAGTGACAGCATTCTTGGTGTGGGTGATGAATCGAAGGGTTCCGTTCTTGACCCGCGTGAGTGAGTAGAACGGACGCTTCCCAGATTCTATGGTGGAAGATGCATTTCCATCGCCCGTAGTATTTGCACTGCCATTGCTGGAGTCTGTGTTCCTGAGCTCAGGGGCAGCGCGTTTCTCGTTACGGCTGTTGCTGTTGTTGTTGTTGTCATCGGCCTGGGCGCCGTTTAAGCCTGGATGGGCGGTCGGGTGGGGGTTGTGGGTCGGGAGAACGTGGCTTGGAGTAACTGGCTTGCGTCCCAAGCCAAGTGCAGACACTGCCTTGGACTTGAAGCTGCGTATAGAAGGGTCGTCGGGTTCTCCCATCGGTTTTGGCGTGAGAATATGTGAGGGTGGAAGGAGTACAAGTAAAATGTACTCGAGAGTTGCTGGTTAGAGCAAGTGGCCAAGGAAGTGAAGCGGCAGCCGGGGCCTTATCTATGCGCCGTGGTAAGCTTAGCCGGCTTGGTCTGTGGCACGGCCGCCTCATCCCAGCGAATGACGTCGGTCTTTCGCCTCACGCGTCCTCCCTGGCACAGCCTCAGTGGCGCTGATGCATGTACGCATGTACGCAAGTACTTGTTTTCCGCGCGTGCATTGCTTGTTTGTAGACAGAAGCCAGAAGCCATCCTTAGAAACTTGTTGAGCTTCTCTTCGTCATGGACTGTCCAAGTCCGGCATCCTTAAGGGGGTTTAATTTGCTCATTTCGAAAAATCGCCACTATTCTCGACTATGCTGCGGGTAGGTTATGGTGATACTTTGCCCAGAAGGAGGATAAGTAGAGAAAATGACTTGTTACGCGTTACTTCTACAAGTTGATGGACCTTCTCGAATCTGGCAATGGCAAAATTTCACAACAGGTCGAACCACGTCCGACCAAGAGGTCTATAATGTTTTCTAGCACAATCTAGCACTATATAGCGTGTTCAACATCCAGAATTTATTATATTCTAAGACAGGATAATAAGACTCGCATGCCGAGGAGACAGTTTTCAAGACTCTTATCTTCGCCCAACCTCTACCCTCCTATTCACTAATAAAGCTTACTTAGAAGTAAATCTCGCTCTATAATCTCTTTTTTAACTTACTATATTAGAACTTAGAGGCGGTAAAATATCTACTGGGTGACCAGCAGAAGTAGGGGTAGTGGGGCGGTGGCAAAACTGGTGATTAGGTAATGTAAGATCAGACTAAAGATTCAATATATTATATCCCACCAATAGTAGTCTCTAGCGGGAGGATACTATGGTGATTTTGACCCATCGGAAATTACACCGAACAAAACTCTCTATTTTCTCCACTACCCCTACTTCTGCTAGTCACCTAGTATTAGAATTAGTACTAGCGCATTAATCTTAAGCTTAATATCTACTATACTACGATTTAGGATATTGTAGAAAACAAATAGAGATAGATAAAAAGTTAATTTTCTAAAAGCTATATTAATATTATATAAAATAGTACTATAAATAACTTAAACTCTATCTTAACTTAATATTAGTATTCTAACTATAGACTAGTAAATAGGTAGAGTCTACCTAGAGGTACGGTCTAGGTTAGGTTAGGTTACACAGACCTTAGGTAGAGGTAGTAGTAGAGGTCCTTAGTGTTAGATAGTA